CAATAATAAAAATAAGACCACGCTATATTTATAAACATTAACAAAATCAAAACATTAACTGTCCCCTTCACACTCATAAGCTAGACCGCGTGAGAGAGAGATGGGCAGACTTTTCATGATGCTCATGCAGTGCGACGTCACGCCGCGCGCTTATTCACAAACACTACACCAGCGCAACGCGTGAATGTGTTGAACGCGAGCTACATAGTAGGCGTAGTGGGGGTGTCAGGTTATTTTCGTTACGGAAATTCTTGATTCAGCCCACGCGCTCAAGGCCCGCGATAGAAGCTATGCAATAGCTTAATCATCGGATTATTTACTGAAGCCATTTAAATTGAAATAATAAAGATCATTTAAATTTGAATATAGAATGTAAGACAGAAAAACACGATTCTGTAACACGTTTTACCTTTTACGCTTCTGCACGCTAATATAATAATGAAATCATCTGTTCAATATGCTAATGTGTTATGTGCGTTGACCTAAAGTTTTGTTGTACACACTAGTTTTCCGTCTCAAGGTCGGCGAATGTTTAGTTTTAGATACTATCGTGAGATTCATAGTTTGTCCGCGCCGGTAACAGCGTTCAATGACCCACTGAACCTAGTAGGACCGGGTACTGCTCATAAGATACGAGTTACGTGCGTATTCCTCGTGGAACCCACAGGCTCAATATTGTTGCGACTTGTTATATTGTAGATCAAATTTTTTTTTAGTTTATAAAAAAATCATTTTCAATAACGTAATCCGAATTTGTGACGTTTTCAATATAGTAATTTTCAGATCGTAATTTCATATGATAATGTAGTTAGCTGATTGATCACATAACCTACGTTTTTTGACTACTACTTAGTGTTCTAGTACAAATATTCGGATGCATGTTTTGCGTTCACAAGCCATACGCATTGATATTAATAATTACTGTAACATCCACCTGTATGTTAAATAGTGTTTTATACCATTGAATTGAAGTAATAATAATCTCGCGCTCGGCCTAGTTTTACAACCTTGACGTAGGTACTAGAGGATTCTAATAATAATAGCAGACTCGTTTCCACATCGCAGGAGTGCAGATTCAATGGATAAGTAAATAACAAACTGTGACGTCATTCTTGTTGTGTGACCCGTCGGAATTCAAAAGTCGTGAATGTCGAAAGACGACTATTGCTTCGTGCGGTTTTCTAATCGTCCAAGTTGTAAACGTTTGGCTGGCGTACAAAGCCTGTTTACACAAATAACCAATATTTCAACACCACATAATTCATTCGAACATTTCCCAAACGTTAACGATACGGCGATTGATGAAAATCAGATAACTGTACGGATTAACGAAGTACTAATATTTAATGCGAGGCGTTTCATTGGATTCTTTTAAACGGTTGCTAAGGTCTTCGATCGTATATGAGTTCTTAAATGTCTTTAATCGTATTTGACCATATCATCCAGATTTTAAACAGCGTGCTTAGTAGTAAATAACTTAATATACCAAAATAATAAAAAAAAACTTTTTTTATTTTTTAATGCTTAGGTATATATTTTTTTGTATTAATAAATAATTAAAAATTATGTAGGCAGTGGCTTGGCTCTGCCCCTGGCATTGTTGACGTCAATGAGCGACGGTAACCACTTCCCATCAGGTGGGCCGTATGCTCGTCTGCCTACAAAGGCGATAAAAAACAGGTATGAGGACGAGCTCACGGCCCACCTGATGTTAAGTGGTTATCGGAGTCCATAGACATCTACAACGTAAACGCCGCCAACTACCTCGAGATATGAGTTCTAAGGTCTCCGTTTTTACGGTACAACGGTTGTCCCACCCTTCAAACCGAAACGCATTACTGCTTCACGGCAGAAATAGGTAGGTAAGGTGGCGGTATCTACCCACGCGGAATCACAAGACGTCCTACCACCAGTAATTCCACAAATTATAATTTTGCGCGTTTGATCTTTATTACATGATGATATTCCTTCACCGTGGAAGCCAATCGTGAACATTGTTAAGTTGAACATTGTTACTTCATTAGAAAAATTGGTACCTGAAGGTGAGATTCGAATACCTAACCGTTGCATTGCTAGATACGAATGCACCGGACGTCTTATCCTTTAGGCCACGACGACTTCAAAACTGCTCTTAATATGCACATAGAAAATGAACATACCTACTAATACATAAATTATTGTCGGGCCGAGTTATCGAGTTCTAGTTGTAAACCAAAAAGAAGAGGGTAGATAGATTTGTCTGCTCTTAACATCCTACCCGCATTCTTTAGTCTACCCGTGATCATGGCGGTTCGTTGCAACAGCGCGAGAAATTACGGGAACACATTTAATATTATGAATATCATGGTAAGAACTCTTTAAATAACAATGTTAATAAAAGAATACAGATCCTACTTACATGTCATTGTATTACATAACTCTGTTATGGATCTTTTTTTGTATAACGTCGTTCCGAAGAGGAATTTTTGCAATGAATCAAACGTATTAGTTTCGTGTCTTAAAAAATATTATTCCATCATTTTATGTATTCAGAACACGCAATCAGTGTTATTCGTGATTTGACGAATGAAATTGAGTTTCTTTAAAAAAATCATTGTAAAAAACATAATTTAAAAATATATGCGATCGTCTCGATCCAATTCTAGTTTATTAAAAATTGTAAAATACATTCTTCAGCTCCATGTTCTAAAATTAAAAAGATATTGTGTTAAAAGGTAAGTGTAACAGGAACGCAAAACAGCAGAGCTAAATACCTCGATGAAAAACAATAACAAAACAATTGCGTAACGTTTAATTTTAACGTCTCGACAACGTTGGTGTTGCATATAAATCGTAACGTGTGTCCAATGCATTCGATGCACCGTCTACATGTTTTTATATTCAGTTTGTTTGCGGATGTGCTTACGTGCCCAACATTGATAAATAGGGGTCCTGTTTCGGTACTTTTCGATTATCTTTAAAACGATAGAAGCAATGGGTTTTTTGTGTGTATGAAGTTACTAATGTTCTGTAAATATACTTATGTTACTGGCTGAAACAAACTCAAAAGTTCATATTTTCTATTGAACGTTTTGTTACATGCATGATCTGTTATATAAATCTTTATTTACATAATTAACGTATATAGGCGTTGTCATTTTATAATTTAATAATTTTGCTTACCTAATGAATTTGGTGATAGACCCAATATTTAAGTATTAAGTATCTTAGATACGTACGATACTAAAAAGAGTACTACTGCTGGTCTTTCTTGATTTACAGACGACCGGGAAGTAATTGTCGATGTCCACGGGCAGCGATATCGTTTTTATATGTTCGGACGCATGCCTATTTACCTAATAAATGAACAAAAAGTCTAACTATGTCATTCATTAATAATAATAATAATTCGAAAGAGTTTCGTTAACTTAAGCGATCTATCAATTACGGAACAATTATCCACTAAATTAATGAAGAAACATTAACTTATTGTTTAGTACGTAATCATAATGAAGCATCTAAAATACATTCAAATGTATTCACGATTAATCGAGTCATCGTTTTTTTTATTGCATAGATGATTGGACGAGTTCACAGTCCACCTGGTGCTAAGTGATTACCGGAGCCCATAGACATCCACAACGTAAATACCGCCACCCACCTTGAGATATGAGTTCTAAGGTCTTAGTATAGTTACAATGGCTGCGCCACCCTTCAAACCGAAACGCATTACTGCTTCATGATAGAAATAGGCAGGGTGGTGGGTACCTACCCGTGCGGACTCACAANGATTGGACGAGTTCACAGTCCACCTGGTGCTAAGTGATTACCGGAGCCCATAGACATCCACAACGTAAATACCGCCACCCACCTTGAGATATGAGTTCTAAGGTCTTAGTATAGTTACAATGGCTGCGCCACCCTTCAAACCGAAACGCATTACTGCTTCATGATAGAAATAGGCAGGGTGGTGGGTACCTACCCGTGCGGACTCACAAGAGGTCCTACCACCAGTAATTACGCAAATTATAATTTTGCGGGTTTGATTTTTATTACACGATGTTATTCCTTCACCGTGGAAGTCAATCATGAACATTTGTTAAGTACATATTTCATTAGAAATATTGGTACCTGCCTGGGATTCAAACACCGGTGCATCGCTAGATGCACTGGACGTCTTATCCTTTAGGCCACGACGACTTATAAAATCGTGCTTCAAGGAATAATAAAACTCTTAGTAATATTTTAGTTCAGGTAAAATTTCATTCAAATAATCTTGAATTTTGACAATGTCTTATATCACACCTAAAAAAAACCTCATTATGCTCTATTCGATACATTAAAGGAAATATTCAAGAAAAAGCGTGACGGTGAGATTAGTTTCTACCATTATTTATAATATAAAATAGGATTTTATAAAATAAAGCTAAAACAGTCTAATATTATCATAGTAGGTATTTAATTCTGGTTTCTATCAATTACTATTTACATAATATCTACAAAACACAAACTTCACTAATAAAACAAGAACTTGTATTAAAATTCGAAGTCGGTCAAAAACAGCTGTCATATTATTATGATTCGGACTTTTTTATAAACTGTCTTATTTTTGTGTTCTGTTTATGTTTAGCATAAATAAACGTTACCGTAATTATTGTTTCTTAAGATGTAGTGTATGTGTAAAACTAATCCTATAACGGCTGTCTTATGCTTTTTTTTTAAATGTCAATTTAAAAATCTGCAAACGGCTTAAAAAAAGGGTATAATAGTTTTCATGTAACAAAAAGTTTGACTATTTCTTTGCATAGCGTTGTGCTGGGCGGGGTTTTTATTTTATATCACTTTAGTATAATAGTTACGCCATCTAGTAGAATTACTGAGAAGCTTATGTTCCAAACATACTCATGAAATAAGTTATGCTACTCGATGATAGGTGGCGCGAGCTTAGTAAAATAACTAAAATACAAGTTTAATTTTATATTTCGTTGTTGATCGTTACTGACCTCGTGTTTTTGTTACAGGTTTTAGTGGAATACGATGGTGTAGAATGGCAACGACGCGAGTGGGTAGCTGTGTATTCGCGACGAACTTTTCGCGTGTTTTTAGTAGAAAGGACTTTAGTTTGGGCTCCCAGAACCGTCGAGGGAAAAGAAGTGCAATGGCCAGCGTTGGTAAGTATTACATACTTCCTGTGTTAATCCAAGAAATTTACAGTACCTACAGCATGTCTGTCTGAAAAGTTTCTCAATATCTCCGCTAGGTAGACCTACCTGTAACGAAATCAACTATTACTTTGTTTTCACTTGTGACGGTAGATGGCGTTAAAATTCAATATGCAACATTTATTTTATTATTTTAAGAGCTGAACCCTTTAAAGGAGTCCTTTTTTTCTACCTATACTGATAGACCTGAGAGGCTATTTCAGCTTCTCCTTCACGTGTAGGTGAGCTCACGGGGCTCATACCGGGAGTGTTGCTCTGAGCCCTAGCAAGAGCAGTGCTTCGCAATACAATCAATCACTCTACAATACAATAATTCTATCTACCACCGGATCGGAAAAGCGACCCACTGAGAAGATCCGGCGCGAAACTCAGTGGGCTGTGTCTATTGGTTAATTTACTTCCCTTCGTCGCAAGCGACGGGTTCGGCGAGGACGGTGACCGGTGCTTGAGGTCACCATAGTCAGTTACTCTTGGCAAAGCAGTCGTAGTGATGTGAAATCCTTGTTTATTATAGCCTTGACAGCTGTTCTCCATATTTCGCGAACTGAGGCTAGGAGCACGCACTCGTTAAGTGGGGTTTTGGTAAGGAATTTCACTTGATCAGTTCAGTACATGGGGCTTCATCCACAAGGANGGCGAGGACGGTGACCGGTGCTTGAGGTCACCATAGTCAGTTACTCTTGGCAAAGCAGTCGTAGTGATGTGAAATCCTTGTTTATTATAGCCTTGACAGCTGTTCTCCATATTTCGCGAACTGAGGCTAGGAGCACGCACTCGTTAAGTGGGGTTTTGGTAAGGAATTTCACTTGATCAGTTCAGTACATGGGGCTTCATCCACAAGGACTTTTACCGTTGTTCCTACTCTGAACAACAAGTTTCTCGATAGACTCTTATAGGAGAGGCCTATGTATGTATAATCAATATCTGTTGTTGATGATGATAATGATAATATGAGATACAAATTAGCCTATTATACATAGGGACCAAATAAGGTCAGCGTTTGGCGAAATCCACAAATGTACTATTGTCCACGTTAGTAACGGCGTCCATTAAGATCTTTAAACCGGAACCCATTAAGTATTACTTTTTGATACAAATAGACAGGACGGTGGTTTAGACTCGTTTTTTTTTGTTTACGAAGTATAACGGCCCACCTAATGGTGAAAGGTTAGTGTCGCTCATGGACTTCAGCCAGGCCAGAGGCACAGTCAAACCAAGTAGAGTGATAGCCTCCATAAGATATATCTTCATAGTAAAAATGCACTTGCACATGCACACTTAACAAATCGAAGCTATATTAATTAATATTTTAATCAAGTTTAATCTTTTACATATTGCATCTGTTTCGAAAATACAGCTTTAATTTTTTTATTTTCTACATTTCTATATTTAATTGTATCATTAGTGTTTTTTATATATTTATTTCAACTGTAATTAAGATTCTTGTTTTTTTGTTTAGTTGTATTAATTATTTTCACATGAGCTCTTTTGGTTTCCTGACTCTAGTAATTATGAGTGCAACACGGTGTTTTCTTCATCAAAAATTTTTATAACTGAAGAAACTGTTATTGAACTGATATAGTTCTAATGCTCCTTTTCAAAATTACTTCTTTTATAGAGATTTCTTCGAGATATCATTATTTAACCTTATAATTAGATGGTAATACCTTTGGCAGTGTTGGCAATCGTTTGTGCACTAATTCAAACGCAATGAGAGTTAGGTACCTACTAATTTCTTTTACGATTCTCCTGCAACTGCGGCATGTTTTAAAATGAAACACTGATGTGACAGGCACGTGCCTCTGGCGCGACCTCCAATCGTGGATTCACGCGCGGCCCTCTTTAACATGGACATCACGTTCTGTCTGAGGTCAAAACAAATTTTGTCTCCTTCGCGCCGAAACGAAAATGTCTTACGAGTCTCTTTAAGAGAGTTCGTTGTGAATTTTAAAACGCAATCCTTACGTTATCCCCAGGATGCATAATTTAAATGTACGTGTTTTTACTATAAGGCACGTTCAATCGGCTTGTAAGTCTGTTTAGCAACCCTAAAACGACCTAAATCACATTTCAATTTGCAAATAACGTTTATTTCAATAGATGGCGTTGGTAGAATTAAAGTTTTGACGTTAAAATAAGTTTCATTTTATTATTGTGTTAAGAGTATATTAAGTGTATATATAATCTATGATTGTGTTGTTTTGTATTCATCGTTGGAGGTTATCAGAGCGCTAATAAATAAATAAAAAAGTGATCATATTTATTAAGTGTATAGGTAGTGTTAGAAAGAATAATATAGAAATAAAATACATGAAATTATCTTATAAGTAATTTATGTTTAAATATGTTACGCTCAAATACTGTATCTTCTATAATGTTGCTTGAACCAAGTTTTCACGAAATATTTTCATCAATTAAGTCAAATTCTCTCTTTGTTGCAGACATTCACACAACTTGCAGCTGACCTGACGATAGAGGCTGACGCCCAGCCAGTGGAATATTTGCATGACAAGCAGCTCCAATTTATGGACTACGCTAATCTACTCCCATATCAGGTTATTATTATTTGTTTAATGAATATTAAGTAGTCACATCTCTTAATCACAGTCAAATTAAATAACGTAAGTCTGAATAAAGTTTATTCTGTAAAAGATTTGGGGGTTTATCTTGATTCAAAACTTACATTTAATAGTCACTTTGAATATATAGTTAATAAGGCTTACAAAAACTTAGGTTTCATAATAAGAGTAACGCGCGATTTCACTGACATTTCTTGCATAAAAGTGCTTTACTATGCTTATATCAGAAGTATTCTCGAATACTGCAGTACTGTTTGGAATCCACAATACGTGACGCATGAGCATTCCCTTGAGCGTCTCCAAATTAAATTTGTCAAATATTTGAATTTCAAAAGCAAATTAAAAATTGATGGCTACACTGAGTCATGCCAAAAACACAGCCTCATAACTCTGGCTGAGAGACGTGAGATGCAAGACATGGCTGTATTTCATGATATATGTTCTGGAAAGCTAGATTGTGTTGAATTGTCAAATAGAATACTCAACTTGAATGCCCCTGGTAAAAGAACTCGTCACACGCATCTTTTTCATATACCGTTGGAGCGCACTAACTACGCGGCTAATGATATGTCTATTAGATTACCAAAGACCTACAATAAGTTTTATTCAGATATTGATATCTTTACAACATCCAAAACTATGTTCAAAGCTGCAGTTCATAAGCTTAAGTTAAGTTAAGCTAAAGGTTTGTTATTGTTTGAATCTTTAAAATATTTACAAATTGAAAAATAATAATCTTTAAAGTATTTTGGTGTTCTACAATTAACAATCAACGTTCATATAATCAATTCGAGCGTCCATGTAAACCAACCACTACATTACACTCACACGCACTTACACACATCGACACAACACACAGATTCAAACTTATTCTGCAAGTTATCATTCGACAAAGTTAATCTACCTATTTAACTGCCTTACCTTAGTTGAACTACCTGTGTTCATTAATTATGTTAAAATTTTTTGGAAACATAATGTGTTTCTTTAATTGGCTCATGTTTGGGAAAACATCCTCTGTACCCTGTGTCTAGTTAAATGCTGTTGAAACATTGTTTATTAAATAAATAAATAAATTAAATAAATAAATAAATCTGTAGGAAAAACTAAATTTATGTTCCAAGTATTTGAAATTTGGTAAAAATATTCTTTTTATAAAAATAAACATACATTAATGTGAATTATTTTTAATCGCATTTGATGCATTAAGAACTCACCACCCAACTGTTGTTTAATGGTTACCAAAGATATAATGTCGAAGTCTCAATTCCATAGTGAGTCCCTGAAACTGGTACACATGACAGCTAGAAAGTTTAAGAAAAGTGGCAGGTATCGAATTGCGCAGGCTTATAATAAATCACCATCAAATTGTAATATTAACATATGTACATATTAAAACTAAACACTTACATATTATTTTAATACAAATGATTCTTTCGTTTGTATTAAAAATGAAATGATAGTTTTTCCCGTTTATGTGTATTTCGGATGTCTTAACACAGCACCTATTTTATACTCACCGAAATATCATTCAATCCAATCCAGTTATTAACAAACATGATATGATTTATTAATTGTTTAATTGATAAATGTATATTTTTTATTACTGTTGAGACACTGCGTAAAGTTACATAAGAAATCTGTGTTATATAACAATAATTTAAAATATAATAACAGTGTTATATAACTTTCTAGGGGAAAATACACATTTGTTATCTTATTTTATGTGTATAAATTATAATTCTGGCTCTTGTTGACATATTAGCTAGGTATATTTTATAGAAGCGGGAACATTTAAATGGGTGTGGGATGTATATGGCGTTCTATATTTAGGCATGAATAACTGTTTGTCCTCCAAATAAAATAAATTTTAATATTTTAGTATGGTTTTATGTATGCCTCTGTAGAATCATTATACTTCTGTTACATACATACAATACATCTAACACTAAATAGGAAGGTAGGAATATAGGAAGCTTGGTTAAGTAACTATTTACTGATGGTAGGGCATATTATGTGCCCGCATAGTACATCTAGTACTATACAATTGCGACTTAGACCTCACGTTTCAATTTCGGTTGTTCCGGTATTTGTGTTGTGACGTTTTTTATTGCTTAGACGGGTGGACGAGGTGACCTGGTGTTAAGTGGTTACCGGAGCCTATAGACGTAAATGCCGCCACTCACCTTGATGTATGAATTCTTTTTTTTTTTTTTTTTTTTTTTTTTTTTTTCTTACCTAACCTGATAGCCCTAGCGGCTATGTCAGCGTAACCCTAACTTTAGTAGGTGAGCTCACGGGGCTCAAACCTGACGATGTTGCTAACACGAACCCTAGCAAGAGCCGTGCTTCGCAGAATCTACCACCGGATCGGAAACGCGACCCACTGAGAAGATCCGGCGAGAAACTCAGTGGGCTGTGTCTGAGAGTTAGTTTACTCGTCGAGNCGTAACCCTAACTTTAGTAGGTGAGCTCACGGGGCTCAAACCTGACGATGTTGCTAACACGAACCCTAGCAAGAGCCGTGCTTCGCAGAATCTACCACCGGATCGGAAACGCGACCCACTGAGAAGATCCGGCGAGAAACTCAGTGGGCTGTGTCTGAGAGTTAGTTTACTCGTCGAGCCCTTCGTCGCAAGCGACGGGTTCGATGAGAACGGTGACCGGTGCTTGAATTACCTAAAAGCACCGTTAGTGGATCGGGAGGATCCGAGATGACGTGTTTTGGGCGACGTCGACTGCTTTCCATTCTGTCCGCAGGATCGGGAATGTAGTTACCGGCGGCCACGATGAGAGGGTTCTCGTGTCGTGCCGCTTTATCGAAGTGGGTATGATTTCTAAGGTCTCAGTACAGTACAACAGCTGCCCCACCCTTACAACCGAACCGCATTACTGCTTCACGGCAGAAATAGGCAGGGTGGCGATAACTACCCGTGCGGACAAGATGTCCTACCACCAATAAATACCACGTGATGTGATGAGATGGCTGCAGTAACCATTAAACTATAGGTCGGTCGGGAACTCATAAACCCACCTAAAAGAAAGTGGAAACAGCAAACTACTTTGAATAGAAACTATCTTAAATACACTCATAGCTTAGAGCGAATAGCGCAACATAAATATTTTCTTAAAAGCCAACAATTACAATAACTGTAGAAATTTTACAAAATAAGGCAATTTAGAAGAAGACAAATGAAAAATAATTCGCTTCGACTAAGATCTAGAACAAAGCATAATTCATAATTCAAAAACATGTATTGCTTTGAACGTCCAAGGTTACTGTTATCATGCCGATATGCAAGGAGTGTTTATCTGATATTCTCACGCTTATTCTACCTTTGAATTGTAATAATGCGTTTGAAAAAGACGATTGCAAACAATCAAATTGATATATGTATTTTAAAAATCCAGACTATTGCATGCTTTAGGTACAGTGCATAACTTATTGGTAGGTTGTTCAATAATTTATGCAGTAAGTAAAAAGTGACTAACGGAATTAGAATCGAACCCAACTCCTGAAGTACATTGGGTCAGGATCGCTGACCGCTAGATCAACGAGGCGATTGAGCGTAGATATAGAACTTGACGTAATATAATTTAACTGCATTTGTATTGGATGTATTGTATGTAATTTAATTATATTTTATTATTCTGTAAATTAATTACAATGAAAGAGCGTGCAATATTTAATGTCGTACTGATTAATTTTTAAATACAATTGAGCTCTATTCGGATTATGTAAACATATCCTTAACGTCTTCCTCACCTCGTGACCTTCCGTGGTAACCTCACGATCAATAAAAATAAAGTGTTTTAATCAACATTAATAATAAGAATGATGTGACAAAAATCATATTTTTTACATTTATTTAAGAACGCCGAGTTGTTCATTTATGAAATACTGAATCTATAATTCGTATAATATATTCTTAGATTATTAAAATCACACGAGGCTTAATAAAATTATTGTGTTCTGAAATGCAATAATATAATTCATGTGAAGTGAAGTGATATGTATGAGATATTAAATAAAATATCAGATTTAACGGAAACATAGCATATCATTTGTTTTTAACATATTTAAGTATTTTATAACAAAACAACAAATGCTATGTTTTGCAGAGAAAATGTAGTGCTATTTTTTAAACAGATTCAAAATTCTTTTTTTCTTGAACTGCCCTCAGAGGCAGTGGTAGAGGTAGGCAGAGGATTTGCTGTGCCCCAGGCATTCCTCGCATTCATAAGCAACGGTGATCACTCAATAACCACAGTTTACTTAGCAAAGGTTTCCTACACTTTTATTACTGGTGGTAGGACCTCTTGTGAGTCCGCACGGGTAGGTACCACCGCCCTGCCTATTTCCGCCGTGAAGCAGTAATGCGTTTCGGTTTAAAGGGTGGGGCAGCCGTTGTAACTATACTGAGACCTTAGAACTTATATCTCAAGGTGGGTGGCGCATTTACGTTGTAGATGTATATGGGCTCCAGTAACCACTTAACACCAGGTGGGCTGTGAGCTCGTCCACCCATTTAAGCAATAGAAAAAAAAACAAGCTTGCGTCTGATACTAACTTTGACCTTTCCCATTTTTCAACAATTTATAGTAACCGTTGCAGGAAATCGAATGTCGTTATTTAACACAATTTATTAATACATCCAATACATTAAATTTCTTTATTTTTTATCGATATTCTGACTCCAGATAGATTTCTAATGATAGATTATCTTATCAGGTCGAGACCGTAAACACGTTTCATATTGTAAACCAAAATGTTTTTTTTAATCATCTGAATATTTTATCTTATCTTAGTTTTATAGTGGTATTTTGTATTGGGTTATATTGCGGTATTAAAAATTATAACAAAATGTTTGTGAATTTAATTTTGAGACTAACATATAAAGTTTTAAACTAGTCCACTTTAATGATTTCTCTTATTGATCTCAGATTTCGTTTTGTTGAATAAAAAACACTCAATCGAT